TTTTTTTTCTTTCAACCTATTTTGCCTTTGAATCTAAAGTATTTATGTGGTATAGAGCATATAGTTGGACCTTACTTTTTAAAAATCTGTTCTGCTCATGTCTGCCTTTTAACTGGTTTGTTCATTCATGTATATTCAATGCAATTATACATAAGGTAGGATTATACCTGCCATTTTATATTTGTGTTTTATGTGTATCATGTCTCTTTTTGTTCATTGTTTCTTTATTGCTATCTTTTGTGTTAGATCTTTTAAAATATATTTTTATTGATTTCAGAGAGGAAGAGAAAGATAGAAACATCAATTATGAGAGAGAATCATTGATTGGCTGCCTCCTGCACATCCCCTACTGGGGTTCGAGCCCACAACTCAGCTTGTGCCCTGACTGGAGTCATGTGCTCCGATTTAGAATGGGATGGTGATCTCCTGGTCAATGCCCAATCACTGATCCACGCCTGCTGGGTTAGATATTTTTAGTGTGCTATTTTAATTCTCTTGTTTCTTTACTATTTTTTAAATTTGTTCTTTATTGGTTGAACCTTGGAATTAAAATTAACATCTCTATTAAAACAGTGTAGTTTGAGTTAATATAAACTTAATTGCAATGGGATCAAAATATATTTCTTTAATAAAACTTCATCTTTTCCCTTTTCTTTGTGTTGCTGTTGTACAAATTACATCTTTATATAATGTATATCGAACAGCACACTTACGATGATTGCTTTATGTCATTTCTTTAAACTCGTGTATGTATTAGTTTCCTGTTGCTGCTGGCGTAGGAAGGAGTTACATAGCAGAGCTCACTGCTTGTCGTTAGAAAGAACTGCTGATGTCAGCCCATGGCTGACAGCTGAGAACTTGGATTTCCGAAGGGTTCCCACCTGCCTAACTAGTAAGAATGGCGTACTAGGCCCAAGCTGCTTACAAACAAATATAGTTTATGCTGAACACCTGCTTTTCTGGGAATCTGAAATTTTGGTATGTGCTAGGTAGATCATGTGTCTGTGTGGTCAGCCTCTAACATTGTTGAATCCTGTGAATCCCTCCAGCAATTTATTGAAACTGGGGTGGCCTTTTAAAAAAATCTTTATTGTTGCCAAAACCGGTTTGGCTCAGTGGATAAAGCATCAGCCTGCGAACTGAAAGGTTCCGGGTTCGATTCCGATCAAGGGCATGTCCCTTGGTTGCGGGCACATCCCCAGTAGGGGGGGTGCAGGAGGCAGCTGATCAATGTCTCTCTCTGTCAATGTTTCTAACTCTCTATCCCTCTCTCTTCTTTATATTTTATTGATTTTTTACAGAGAGGAAGAGAGAGGGATAGAAAGTTAGAAACCACCACAGGCTCTCACGGTCTGTGTCCATGGGTTATACATATATGCATACAAGGTCTTTGATTGATTGCCCTCCACCCAACCTCCCTCCCCCTCCTTCTCTCTGATATTCCACACTCTGTTCCATGCTGCCATGTCCCTGGATCCACTCCGTTCATCAGTTTATTTTGTTACTGAGATTTCACATATGAGTGAGATCTTTCTCTGACTGACTGACTTCACTCAGCATGATATTCTTTAGGGTCGCTCCATGCTGTCTCACAGGGTAAGCGATCCTTCTGTTTTACTGCTGCATAGTATTCTGTGGTGTTAATGTACCACAGCTTCTTTGTTCACTCTTCTACTGATGGGCACTTGGGCTGTTTCCAGATCTTAGCTATTGTAATTGGGCTGCTATGAACATAGGGCTGCATACATTCTTTCTGATTGGTGCTTTGGGTTTCTTAATGATATATTCTGAGAAGTGGGATCACTAGCAGTTCCATATTTAATTTTTTGAGGAAACTCCATAATGTTTTCCATAATGGCTGCACCAGTCTGCATTCCTAACGGCAGTGCACGAGGATTCCCTTTCCTCCACATCCTCTCCAGCACTTATCATTTGTTGATTTGTTGATGGTAGGAAACTGGGGTGATCTTAAATAGTTCCTACATACTGCTGTAGCAGAATCCCACAAATTTGGTGGCTTAAAACAACTTCAGATTATTATCTTACAGTGTTGGAAGTAAGAAATCTGAAATTAGTTTCTCTGGGCTAAAGTCAAAATGTCAGCATTGCTGTGTTCCTTCTGAAGGTTTTAGAGGAGAATCCATTTTCTTGCCTTTTCCACTTTCTAGAAGCTTCCTGCATCCATACATCATGGAATTGCTCCCTCCCTTCCATGTGCAAAGCTAACAGCGACTAGTCACATCTTTCTGGTGCAGCATCCCTGACACTTCTTCCCTGCTTGTTCTGTCATTACATAGGGACCACTGTGACTAAGTGGAGTCCAACCCATAATCCAGGATAATCTTCCCATTTAAAGTTTCTTAATTTATTATATCTTAAAAGTCCCTTTTGTCATGTAAAGTGATTATATGCAAAGATTCTAGGAATTAGTGCTTGGAAATCTTTGGGGTGGATCAGTTTTGTACTTACCACAGTCCGGAGAAATGAAGAGTTAGAAACAAAGGTATGCTGATTTTGCCTTTTATCTTTATTTATATAATTATCCTTACTGGTGTTCTTTTTGCCTGTGGATTGGATTAGCTGCCTAGTGTCCTTCATTACAACCTGAAGGACTTCTTTATATTTCTTGTAAGAGAAGTCTGGTTGTAATGAATTCTCTGTGCTTGTTTATCTTGGAATGTCTTAATACTGGCTTCAGTTTTGCAGGGTGGTTTTGCAGTATATAGAATTCTTGTTTCACAGTCTTGTTCTTTAGCACTTCAAATGTCATTCTCTTGCCTTCTGGTCTCCTAGGATACCAGTGAGAAATCAGTTGAATATCTCTTGTATATGCTGAGTTTCTTCTCTGTTGCTGCTCTTAAGATTCTTTGTCTTTCAACAGTTTGATTATGACATTTCTAAGTGTGAATCATTTTGATTTTTTTTTCCTATTTGGAATTTGTTGAGTTTTGGGGTTATACACATTGTTTTTCATCAAATCTGGGGGTTTTCGCTATTATTTCTTAAGATATTATATCTGCCCCCTTCTTTTTCTCCTCTCTTCCTGGGATTCCTATTATGCATTTGTTGGCATGCTTGATGGTTTCTGTTATTGTACTTTCCAACTTCAAAATTTCGGTCTGGTTCCTCTTGTATAATTTTTGTTTCTTTGTTGATATTCTGTTTGATGAGAAATCAATCTCAGACATTCTTAGCTCCTTAGAAATGGCTTCCTTAGTTCTTTGAACATATTTAAAATAGCTGATTTAATGTCTTTGTTAGTCTGGCTCTAACTTAGGTTTCCTAAGGGTCATTTTCTGTTGATTTCTTTTTTTCCTGTACACGGAACCATGCTGACTTGGTTATTTAAAATATTGTAGTGTACCACCTCTGGAAATCACATCCTCTTTCCTCTCAGTTTTTTTGTTTGCTTATTTTTATTTATTCATTTAGTGACTTTTAGGAACTAATTTTTACAAAAATATTTGTATTGATTTCAGAGAGGAAGGGAGAGGAAGAGAAAGATAGAAAATCAAAGATGAGAGGCCTGTCCCTGACTAGGAAGTGAACCATGACCTCTTGGTTCATACGTTGACACTCAAACACTGAGCCACACCGCTGGGCAGGAACTAATTTTTTAAAGTCCATATTCTTTGTTGAGTGTGGTGACTGAAGACTGCTCAGTTAGTTCCTTAGATGCCTGGAACCAGTAAGTTCTCCAGCCTTTCTGAGAAGCTTTCTGTTGTGTGTATTGAAGCTGGCCCTCAGCATTCTCTACAAGTCCACTTTGGTCAGAGGCCTTTCTTCAGCGCGCAGCAGCCTTGGATGTTGGTGTGACTTCTAGACTCTCAGGAACCTGTTGGAGCTTCTCAAAGCTTTCTGAAATTGACAATTTGTTCCTCCGCTTTTCTTTTAAAGAACTTTTTTTTTCTTATCTTTCAGTTTGCCCACAACTGTTTTCCCCTTTCTCAGACAGTTAAAATAATGCAATAATTACCTAATTGATTTTAACAAGCACCTAAGCTTTTGCATTGGAAGCGCTCTGAGTCAGGTTAAACAAGGACAACCTTTCAAGTGGTGCTCACCATCCAACCACTAGAGGTCAATGATGACAGTTGTGGGAGAACAGACTTTGTAAGCATTCCAGCCCAATCTGTCCTCTCCTGTGGCTTACCGCTGCCGTGGGCTGTTGGTTTGTCTTGCTTCGGTGGCCTGGGAGTAGAGGGCAGGGAGATGGGAATAGGGAGGTCAGAACACCACAAGGTGGTCTCTCACACGCAGGCTCCTGTGCTCAGAGTGAGAGAGAGAACGAGAGACATTGATTTGTCGTTCCACTTATTTATGTATTCACTGGTTGTTTCTAGTATGTGTCCTGACCAGGGACCAAACCCTCAACCTTGGTGCATTGGAACGATGCTCCAGCATGCTGAGCTACCCAGCCAGCTCGGTCTCTTGCTTTTTATTGAGATACTTAAATGCCTTCTAGATTGCTTCAAGCCTTTGGTTAATTTCAGAGTTCTGAAAAAGTTGATCTTGACAATGTTTTCTTTTATGCAAGAGAGAATTTCTGTAGGTCTTTACTGTGTTTGTTGATGGCCTCACTTTGGTTCTCTTTTGTCTCAAGCATGGCCCTTCTTATTCATCTTCATACCTGCCATTGCCCTGTAGGAATCTGAGTTTATTAGATTATCTCTTTAAGATAATTTTTGACTCTCAAAAATTCTGGTTTTTGTTTTTAGCTTAGAAAGCCAGGACCTGAAAAACAGAGTTAATTTAAAAATTAATAATCATATTTTTGTTCATTCTCACTAATTGAGTATCTGGGAAAAATAAAGGACCTAAATGTATAAAGTATTAATATTGTATGTTTCTTGTTAGTGGTTTTTATACTGACATTTTTGTGTATGTGTGTCTGCCTCTTCTGTTTCTTATTATTAATGTTTGTTTTTACCCCCTAAAGCAATAAAGAATGCTGATGGGAGAGCCGTTTCCCTAATTTTCAGATTGTTGAGCTGGTTGCCATGATGGGTAAGTTCAAACTAAAAGATTTTTTTTTTTTTTTTGTCTATAATTAAAAGCTAAAATAGGGGAGAATTTTTTTCTGCATGCATGATAAACTTGTAATCACTATGGCAAACAACATGGAGGTTGCTCTTTGTAACCATGAGTGCAGTGCCATCACGTGGTCCAAATTCTTCAGTTTTGTCAGCTTTAAATTGAATATCCTTTTACTGAACTCCTATTAACTTTTCATTTTGATTGCTCATACTTGCAATCTGGGCTGTGTGTTAACCAAATTGATTTCTACCTTCTCAAATAATACTGTACTATATAAAACAACAAAATAAAGAACAGCCATTGCTTAAGAACATATACCAAAGTAGTCATAGAAAAACATGAATATTTTAAAGCATGATTCAAAGATTTTTGAATTTTTTATTGAGGATATTCTACTATAATTATTTTAAGTATAATGAATAAGCATATAAGGGATCTAATTAAACATGTCTAATAAAATATTTTACTTGAAATGATTTTCCAAATATATTCTGGTCTTGTGCTCAGCTAAATGTCCTTTTAGCATGTGTCAGAAACCCACTACTTCATCTGTGTAATTGTCGGCCAGACCATAGGGCCCTCTGGACATCCTTATTGCCTGTTGATCAACTCATGATCTTTATGACATTTACAACCTGTTATCTGTCTAGTACCTATGACCACCACAGAGGTTCTTGAGTAAAACAAGTCTAAGAGTTGTTAGAAAAGTGTTCTTGGTGTATTTCTGCTCACACTTTGCTTGATCTTTTGTGGATTTGTTAGCTTACATCTTGTCAGCTTCCTCAAAGTAAATTGCCTATTGGGTATTTACTAGTATCTACCATCTGATTCTTCTTCAAGCCAGAAAAAGCAGGAACTCAATTAAGTTACTCTTTATTAGTAAGTCATCTCTCTAAGAAGTTACTTATATTTATTTTTATACATGTATGATAGAAAACAGTACTTTTTTAAAAACAAAACAAGGAAATTAGTGTATCTAAATGTGATAAGAGATTTAAGCCACTTGTTTATTTTGGTATTATGATATGAAACATGTAAAAATACCTAAGTTCAATTGTTTAAGTTTTTTCTAATGAAGAAAGTAATTAAAACATAGATATGTTTAAATATTAGAATTCCCCTTACTCAGTACAGAATTACAGATCTTACCTTTCTCAAGAAGATTATGTCATATAATTTTATTTCAGTTGAGATCATTCTCAGCTAATTTTTTTCTAAGGAAAGATTTATTTATTTAAAATATATATTTTTATTGATATTTTACAGAGAGGAGGAAGGGAGAGAGATAGATAGAAATGTCGATGAGAGAGAAACATTGACCAGCTGCCTCTTGCACACCCCCTACCGGAGATGTGCCCGCAACCAATGTACATGTCCTTGACCAGAATCGAACCTGGGACCTTTCAGTCCACAGACCAATGCTCTACCACTGAGCCAAACCGGTTTCGGCAAGATTTATTTTTTTTAATAAATGACATAGTATGGCTTGGACCCATGGACAGTACGCATGTTGTGATTATAATATGCCCATGGACTCAGTTACTCTTGGGCTAAGCTAACGTTTGGATGAAATTTTATTTTACGAAGGTTACTTATAAAATTTTCTCTAAACCTGGAATCCTACCTAATAAAAGAGTAATATGCTAATTAACCATAACTCCGCTACACCCATCAGCCACGCCCACCAGCCCATCAGAGCAAGTATGCAAGTAAACCGCAACCAAGAAGGCTGTGGCCACAGAGAGCAGGAGAGAGGCTTGGGTTTCCCTGGCATTAGAGGAAGCCAAGCTTCTGCAGCCCTGGCCATCCTAAGCCTACACTCCAGGCTACAAAGTTTCAATTATAGAAGGTAAACAAATCCAAACAGAAATGGTGGCAGCCAAGGAGCAAGCAGGAGGCTTAGCTCCGCTCCAGGCTACAAAGTTTCAATTGTAGGAGGTAAATAAATTTCAGATACCAGGGCCTCCACTTGGGTCACCAGGGCATGGCTGGCCTGCAAACCACCACAGGCCCTTAGCCTAGGCCACCCCACACCCCAAGGGAACCCCCACCCTGATCCAGGACACATTCCAGGGCAAAACAGCTGGCCCCATCTGTGCACCAGGCCTCTATCCTATCTAATAAAAGAGAAATATGCATATTGACCATCACTCCAACACACAAGATGGCTGCCCTCAAGTGGTCAAGGATTCTGCCCCCATGTGGACACACAAGATGGCCAGCAGGGCAGGACAGTTGAGAGGGACCAGGTCTGCAGGGGAGGGCAGTTGGAGGTGATCAACCCTGCAGGGGAAGACAGTTAGGGGTGACCAGGCTGGCAGGCAGAAGCGGTTAGGGGCAGTCAGGAAGGCCAGAGGTGAGCAGTTGGGAGCCAGCAGCCTGGATTGTGAGGGGATGTCCAGCTCTAACATCCCCGGAGAGGTCCCAGACTAGAGAGGGTGCAGACGGCTGAGGGACACCCCCTCACCCCATCCATGAATGTCATGCACCGGGCCTCTAGTTTATTAATAACACCCTTGGAGCTATTATTTCTGTTTTGATGTGCAAATATTTTCACTACAAAATAATATGTTGAGTGTTATAAAAATTAATACACTGGAGAAGTCAGGTATTTGTGTGTTTGAAAGACGATGAAGCCATTGAATTACCACATCCACTTAAATGATTTTCATTACAAGATAAAGCATTTTTAATTATTACTATTTTGGAACATAAATTATTACTCACCAAAATGGTTACTTTTTAAAAAATATATTTGTATTGATTCCAGAAAGAAAGGGAGAGGAGAGAGAGATAGAAACATCAATGATGAGAAAGAATTATAGATTGGCTGCCTCTTGAGCACTTCCTAATAGTGATTGAGCCCAAAACCCAGGCATGTGCCCTGACCAGGAATTCATTTGTGACCTCCTGATTCACAGGTCAACACTCAGCCACTGAGCCACACGGGCTGGGTCAAAATGGTTACATTTTAAAATGGAAGCTGTAAAGTCTCTGAATTCCTTTTTTTTTTTTTTTTTTTTAACTGATTGTTGATTATTATTAGTGGAATTGATTTACTAGTGAAAATCAATTATATTGTCCCTGAAGTTTTCCAGAGAGTGTATAATTGGCATTACTAGGAGGCTCATGCTCATAATCATATAAATAAATCTTTGATCTGTCTGGAAAAAATTAAAAATTTATAGTTTATGATTCTTTTATTCAGTTTTATAGATTTAGTGTTTTTTTTCTTAGGAATGGATTTTTCTTGTATTGTTACCTTTTGAATTGTTCCTGGCTGAGATCATTAAAGAATTTTTAAATGTTCGTAGTCTTATTGATCCTTATGGAGAAGTTCAAGAAAACACTTCATAAAATCAGTAGGCAAAGCTTTTATTATTTCTGAATTGAAGTCTGATGAAAGAGAAAAACTCTAAAAGGAATTCTGTACTTTGAACATAAATGCTAAGTAATGATGGTATTTATAGAAAGTTATTCCCCCTCACTTGTTTTAAGATTTTAAATGTGCTGTTTTGTTTAGGTGTCATAGAAAAGAACTTGTCATAACAGGGCTGTTCCAACCTATATTCTAGGGTGTACATCATTGGAAGAAGCAGAATGACTTTATTTTGCCTGTAAAAGTCTCCTGTGTGGACACTCAGTATGATGCTAGTGCTTGTGTCCAGTGCTATTTTAACATTGATGGACTTCAGTTTTCTAACAAAAATTTTATTTCACCAAAATAACAAGCATAAGCATTGAAAATGTTCTAGATTTTTGCATTAAATTTTATTATAAATTTTGTGTTTAATGTCAATAGTAAATACATATTGAAATTATAAGTCTGAGTGTGTTATTTTGAAAATACCTAGATGATCAGCAAGCTTTGAACTCAATCATGCAAGATTTGGCTGTTCTTCATAAGGCCAGTCGACCAGCATTATCCTTACAAGAAACCAGAAAAACAAAATCTTTATCACCAAAAAAACAGGTATTTGTTTCAGTAATATTTTAATAAATTTATATTCTACGAATTATTTTTTCTTGAATATCTTGATCTTATAGAGGTTTTGCTTAAAGTATTTAACTTTTATACTTTCAAATCAAATATTTTGTTAAACATTTTTTATAAGTATGTTTTTAAAAATGGTAGAATTACATTTAATCCGGTAAATGCTCTCTGAAGTTGTTTCATCCATTCTTAAAGCACTTAAGCAATTTTTTAAATTTAAAGTCACCTATCCTGTATATTTACAAATGAGGATAATTTTGATTCTTAGTTAATCCTCAACAGAGGATATTTTTTTCATTGCTTTTCAGAGAGTGGAAGAGAGGGAGGGAGGAATGAAAAGGGAGAGGAAGAGAGAGAAGAAAGAAAGAGAGAGGGAAAGAGGAAGAGAGGGAGAGAGAAAGAGAGGGAGGAGAAAAACACATCCCCGGTTGCCTTTCGCATGCGCCCTGACCAGGGGTTGGAGATTGAACCCACAACCCAGCTATGTGTCCTTGACCAGGAATCGAATCTGAAACCCATGCTGGGGCCAAGGCTCTAACCATTTAGCAACACCAGCCAGGACCATTTTGATTCTTTTAGATAAAATTTGTTTGGGATGTTGCCCTAAAAAGTAGAAATACAGTATGCTAAATTTCCCTCTAACAGGATTAGCAAATGTTTCCTGCCCATGATGCCATTATTAACAGATCCTGTTGATCTTTCCTCTTGACCCTAAATTCTGCAACATAATTCTCAATCTGGCTCTTTGGCAGACCCTATCAATTTATTGGAGTAGATACTGAAATGAAACCTTCCCCATCAGCTCTGTGATTTTTTAAATTATCATCATTATCATTATCAATTATTATTATTGATTTTTTAGAGAGTAGAGGAAGGGAGTGGGATACAGAGTTAGAAACATTTATGAGAGAGGAACATCATCCTGGGGATTGAGCCTTCAAACGAGGTACATACCCTTGACCAGAATCGAACCTGTGGCCCTTTAGTCTACAGGCTGACACTTTATCCACTGAGCCAAGCCGGCTAGGATCCCTCTGCTCTGTTTTAAATGCGTGACTAAGAAGAAAAAAGAAATTTTGATTTCTGAAAATGATTTATCATTTCTTTACAGAATGATGTTCGAGTCAAATTTGAACATAGAGGAGAAAAAAGGTAAGGAAAGAAACATTACATTTCAGATTATCAATTTAATTAAATGTGTGTTCTAGTTAAAGCCATTGGAGGTTCTTCTATATTTTAAGGAAGGCTCTTGGCTTATAAATTGAGAATGGAATAGTCCTTGGTAACGTGTAGCATGTATTTAAACTTAAGATAGAAACTGTCAAAATTCAGGCTAAATATTAGAAAGATAAATGTTTTTACTTTGCAATATTTGGAAGTAAAGATCATTACATAATGCAGTCTTTGAATATTGCCATTTTCTTTTATTTTTACTAATCATATTTTCTCCTTATAAATCTCCTTATCATATTATACTCTACAGAATTATGTATATGGACTTAACATTCACAATTTTTTTATTGATTTCAGAGAGAAAGAGAGAGAGAGAGAAACATCAGTGATGAGAGAATACCATTGATCGCCTGCCTCCTGCACACCTCACACTGGGGATCAAGCCCACAACCCTATCCTGTGCCCTGACTGGGAATTGAACCATGACCTTTTGGTTCATAGGTTGACACTCGACCACTGAGCCACACTGGCTGGGCAACATTCACAGTTTTTATTATTCTCAACTACAATGTGCACTTAATCAGTGACGCTGAGGGAAGTGAGTGGGGGTGGCGGCTGTGAATTACTTAGGGGAAGTCTAGTCTTCTGGGTCTGCGTCTCCATACAGTAGTGTAGGTGGGTGGTGATGGTTAACAACAGAATTACTAACAAGACTATTTACAGTTGGAGAGTATCGATTCCATGTTTGTTATTTGTGCCTCATTAATTTAATGAAAGATCTATCCATTTTAAGGACTTTAAAGGAAGATTGTTTTTTTAAAAAATATATATTTTATTGATTTTTTACAGAGAGGAAGAGAAAGGGATAGAGAACTAGAAACATCGATGAGAGAGAAACATCCATCAGCTGCCTCTTGCACACCCCCTACTGGGGATGTGCCTGCAACCAAGGTACATGCTCTTGACCAGAATCAAACCCAGGACCTTTCAGTCCACAGGCCAATGCTCTATCCACTGAGCCACACCGGCTTTGGCCATTATAAGGACTTTAAAAAGGCTCATAAATTATATAACCTGAGATGTAAAATGTTTTACACAGATATATGGTTTTTAAAAATGCTGTATGCTAGATATACTATATAAGTCTAGTCTATTCTACTTTTTCTATTTACAATTCTTTTATGAATATTTCGGGGTGTTTTGTTTTTTTTTCACTCATGGAGCACTATTTATTGAGTGTTTACTATCTGCTAGGCCCTGAGGGGACAGTCAGTGGAGCAGGTGGTCCCTCCTTTGCAGAGTTTACGGGCTGATAGAGTAGTTCCAGGCTTAGGTGCATGTTCCCGGGAATAGCATAGGCCAATCCGTTATAACATAGGAAGGAATACTAGAATTACTTTTAACAGTTTTAGTCCATTTTATGATATGGATATGACATAGTTAATTATTTTCTTCAGCAAACATTTTACATTTCCCTTTAATACTCATATAACAGTTTCAGTGCAAATTACAAACTGCAGAGCTTTGTAAGGATTCCCTTTTTATAATTTGTATTAGAATATAACAGACTCAGCATTTTTGGACTTTGTGTTAAGAATTAGTGCACTTGATAAAAAACAAGCCATTGTGGTGCTCAGGTACAGTCGGTGTTTATATCTTTACTTAATTTTAATTTACCCAAAAGATAACTGTTGAGGCATGCCAGCTATTCCTAAGAAAATGAAATGTTTTAAAATTCCGTTCACACAGAATCCTTCAGTTTCCCAGACCAGTTAGACTGGAGCATGTGAGGTCGAAAGCTAAAACTGCCTTCGGACAGCCCATGGAGCTCCATTACACCAATAATGAGGTAATGGGAAGTTTTAACTGCAAGTCGTTCTTGTTTTGGAAAGTAGTGTATTCATTTCAGAGACTGATTTAGGACTGTTGTGTTTTCATTCAGGACTGATGCAGATATGGTATTTTAGAGGAATGATAGAGCACAAATTTGTAAAATTAATTAAAATGGATTTTTCCATTGTCAAAATATTAAAAGGTACTACTGTGAAGATAATTGAATGATAATCTATTAAAGGAAGATAAGTTATTTAAACATTTGCTGCTTATTTATATTTTATTTTTACTCTGTGTGCTTTATTGATAACTTATCTTTTCTCATACTCTATACTTACTAAAGAGACTGTAGAGCTTTGATAGTGAGTTTAGTTAAAACTCACAGGATTATTTTCATGGTGGTTAAGACATAATTAGATCATGTTTATATTTGGGAGTCGGTACATGATCTTAAGGGCTTGCTGTGGCCCTGAGGAGCTTTGTGTTCTGTGAAACTGCCGTAAAATCTGGGTTAGATTTGATGATCTCTGAGTTTTCTTTCAGATTCTATGAAGATATCTTAGGATCTTGAGACCTTAAAATTTTCAGGGACAATATAGTTAAGTGGTTAATTTGTACTTTGGTTGGTTTGTTTACCCCCTCAGAAAATACTTGTTGAATTTGCCAGGCATAATGCTATGAGTTAGGAATTATAGCCCCTTATGGAATTTATAGACTTACTAGAGGCCAGATGCACAAAGATTCATGCAAGAATAGGCCTTCCTTCCCTTGGCTGCCGGCACTGCCTTCACTCCGGCCCTCAGCCACCTTTCCACCTTCACTCCTGCCCAGAGCTGCCTTCTGCCTCTCACCTTGTCGCATCAATTTGCATATTCCCTCCTTATTGGCTCTGGGCTCCAACATCTTTTTTGCAAAGTTACAGTCAATTTGCATATTCTGTCTTTATTAGATAGGATAGTAGTAGAAGCAGACAGTTAATAAACAAACTGTTTAAATATATTAAGTTCTTTGAAGGGAATGCATAAAATATTGTGATAAAGAATAAAGGTAAGGGCAATAGGTATTCTATTTAGGTAGTACTAAGGAAGAACTGACTGAAGTGCTAATTTTTAATTACTGAAAATTGAGGTAGGAAAAGACTGAAGAACATTCTTTGTAGAAAAAGCAGCCTTTGAGCACTAGGAGGCCCTCACCTGGAAAAGACTTCTGCGCTCCAGGGACAGAAGTCCTAGTGGGATGAAGTGACAGGAAATGCTGTGTCTGAGTCCCGATGCCAGGGACTGGACCTCCTTGGATGCCAGGTATCAGATGGAGAAGATAAGAGCAAGCAGTCACAGGTATAGAAGAGACTATTGTAGACCCAGTAGCCCTTGCTAATATAGTAGCAAACATGGGAGCCACTGCTAACAAAGTAGCCTGACCAAGCAGCCGCACACTGCTGGTCAGTAACCCATCTTCTCTATAATGAGCCCCGTACAGGCTGCTCAGAAGCAACTTATCTATAGCTTAAACTCAAACAAAAGAGGCTTCATGCCAAATAGTGACCATATTATTTGGGCTACAGACAGGCATGCCTGCACAGTGTATAGCTTTCTGCATCCTAGCTTTTGCACCTGCTTATAGTAAGTTAGCTTTGAACACCCACACTCAAAGTGGCCTTGAACATCTGGTGTACTCTCAACAGGGTTCCTACAGGAAGCTTAGTAAAAATTAATTTTAGAAAACATGTGAAACATTCTGCAAATAAAAACATTTGAAAATATGAATGAATTGATTTAAAGCAAAACAGTCTTACCTAACTTGAATCTTTATCTCATGGTATGATTCTAGGGGAACCCTGATGTATCTTTGTTTTTTGTTTTTTTTCATCTTTGTTTTTGTTTGTTCTAAAATTGTTTCATAGAAAATTTTTAGATGTCAAGTACCTTAAAACTACAGTATTGTCTTGATCTACAAGGCAAGTAGGTCTATCAAGAAAAACGTTAGTTGGCATTACTTTTTCATAATGTACCTATTTTTGTTCCTAGAATTACTGTTTTTTTCCTGCGTTCTGCAATTTTGTTTATATATAAATTTTTGTAGGATCTTCTTGAGGACTGACAACAAGCTAACTGATCTGTTGTTTTAGGAATCCTCTTTCATGTTCTAAAAATTGAAAAACTTCCCCATTGACAGGGAGATACCCTCCCTCCCCCCCATACTTCTGAAGGATTTTTGGGAGTGGTTCTGCCATTATCTCTGGGTGGGATGTGGTAGAGGAGGCATTAGGAGGAGATTACGTTGTTAAAAATTTTCTTGCAGCCCAGATTCTGTGAGAACCTGTGATTCTGTGAATTAACCATATCATAAGTTACATCATGACCAACTTAGTGCACTAGGAAAGAGTTTGGACATGGGAGCACTAGGAAAGAACTTATAAGAAATGTTAGTTTTTTTGGCCTGTGATAAGCAAAAACTCATTTATACTGTTGTTATTCCAGGTCTATATATATATTTTTTCTAGTGTAATATAATATTTTTTCCAAAAGGGCCAGCCTACCTAATAAAAGAGTAATATGCAAATTAACCATCACTCTGCTCCAAATGCCACACCCTCCAGTCACGCCCACCAGCCAATCAGAGCAAGTATGCAAATAAACCCAACCAAGATGGCTACAGCCACAGAGAGCAAAAGGGAGGCGTTTCCCTGGCAATGAAGGAAGCCAAGTTTTCTGCTTTCCCTTGCCTGCCTAAGATACAAAGTTTTAATTATAGAAGGTGAACAAATCCAAACAGAAATGGCTGCTGCCACTGAGCAAGCAGGAGGCTTGGCTCCACTCCAGACTATAAAGTTTCAATTGTAGAAAGTAAATAAATCCCAGATACCAGGGCCTCCGCTTGGGTTGCTGTGGGCGTGGCCGGCCTGCAAACCACCACAGGCCTCTCGCTCAGGCTGCTTCATGCCCCAAGGGAACCCCCACCTTGATCCAGGACACCCATCAGGGCAAACCAGCTGGCCCCCACCTGTGCACCAGGCCTCTATCCTATCTAATAAAAGAGTAATATGCAGATTGACCATCACTCCCAACACACAAGATGGCTGTCCCCATGTGGTCAAAGATCCTGCCCCCATGTGGACACAAGATGGCCAGCAGGGAAGGGCAGTTGGGAGGGACCAGGCCAGCAAGGGAGGGCAGTTGTGGGTGATCAGACAAGTAGGGGATAGCAGTTGGGAGGGACCAGGCCTGCAAGAGAGGGCAGTTGAGAGGGACCAGGCCTGTAAGAGAGGGCAGTTGAAGGCAATCAACCCTGCAGTGGAGGGCAGTTCGGGGTGTCCAGGCTGGCAGAGGAGGGAAGCTGGGAGCAAACAGGCTGGCAGGGGAGTAGTTAGACATCAGGCTGGCATGGGAGCGGATAGGGGGTGACCAGGCTGGCAGGCAGAAGCGGTTGGGGCAATCGGGAAGGCAGGCAGGTGAGCAGTTGGGAGCCAACAGTTCTGGATTGTGAGAGGATGTCTGACTGCCCATTTAGGCCCGATCCCACTGGGCAGTTGGACGTCCCTTGAGGGGTTCCAGATTGGAGAGGGTGCAGGCTGGGCTGAGGGATAACCCCCGCCCTGACCCCATGCATGAATTTTGTGCATCAGGCCTCTAGTTCTATATAATAGAGATGCAATATGCAAATAATGGTCGTTACATCTTGTTGTGTAACAACCAACCATGTAACAACCAGATCACAGATCAACTGGAGCGTGGGGCACTGAGCTACAAGTGTGCAGCCGAGAGCTGAGCTGCAGGAGGAAGCAGAACAGCAAGTTTAGGGGGGGCAGGGGAAGCTACAGAAGGCGGGGCAGCAGGCAGAGAGCTACTGGAGGGCAGCAGCGAGCTACTGGTGCACGTATTCATGCACAAGGCTACTAGTTATTCTATAAACTTCTAATTTGCCAGACTCAAAACAATCAGTGACTTGAAGCCAATGATTGTATTTGGTAGTTGGGCTCCCGTTTATGTCAAATGTGTCAGGTGACTGTCTGTGTGTTTTGCCGTGAGGGGTAAATGTGGGGTGTGCATTGAAATAAAGTACCGTATTTTCCGGCGTATAAGACGACCCCCTAATTTTACAGTTAAAACATAGGTTTAGACCTATATTCGCTGTATAAGACTACCCCCCACTTCAAAGAAAAGACTTACTTTGACGTCAAGATCTGCAGGTAATTTTTGTGCAATTTTGGTCTTTTGCCCCCGATTTTCGGTTGACTTTTTTTTTGTTTCAAAAGTCTTCTTATACAGAAAATACGGTAAGTGGATATTCTGCCCTGGCTGGTTGGCTCAGTTGGTTGGAGTGTCATCCTGTCCTGTACACCAAAGGGTTGGGGGTTCGATTGCTGGTTTGATCCCTGATCAGGAAGCAACAGATGTTTCTCTCTCACATTAAGGTTTCTCTCTCCCCCACTTCCTCTCTCTCTCTCTGAAATTCAATAAAAATATATTCTTAGGTGAGGATTAAAAGAGGGGGTGCAAAAAGAAAGTAAATGGATTTTTAAGATTATTTCCATTTGGAAAACCTTTTTATGGACTGTGTTTATGTTTCACTATGTAAAATCAGGAAAATAACTTACTTCTTTCAAATTTAGTTTCTGTTCATTGCGTTTTTAAACTCAATTTTTAGTTTCCTTTCCAAAAGGGCTTAATATTAACACACAACTGGTTTAGAAATAATAAGCAAGAAGGAAATAGATTTCATAAATGAACCTAAATTGAATTTATGAAGCAGGAAAATATTGGGTGATTTATTTAATGTAATTTAGACAAGCAGGGACTTGTAAAATTTGTAACAGGTGGCCTTAGAAGATGCAAGGAACCCATCAGAACTACAGGCAGCAATCCAGGCTCTGCTCAGGCACTCGCTCCAGAATGTCCACATCTCACGTTTGCAAATGAAGAAGAGCAAAATCACTCTCCTTAATATTTTGGTACTGTAATTTAAACCAGTGTTTTCCCTCAAAGCAACAATATTGTAGAGAAGTAAATAATTCCA